TAATCATAAAGATCATCACTTTTCTCTAAGTTTAAGCAATTAAGCCCATTAGCTTAGGGTAGACATACCAAGCCACCAATTCTTTTGTTTCTGTTGTCTCCTGCACAAGAACTGTAAACCAAGTTGTCCACCTAAAGCCATACTGGATGAAGGTGGATAGCCTGATAAACAATTTACAACATTAGTAAGAACTAATTTTAAAAAAGTTATGAGCAACTTGATATATGAGATATATTAAAAAGAGGAAGATGTACCATAATTAGAGAAGATAATCCTTATGGAGAAGACGACAGAAAGAGAAGAAAATCTAGGGGATCATGCGACGATGCGAGACATTAAAAGCATAAGTTTATTACTAAAAAAAAGAAGTGAATGAGAAGCTTGCGAATTGGGCCTATGCGAAAATTTATTCATATTAATTTAACGGTGGAATATGAAAACGAATGCTTATTATATATCTTCATTCGAATAGGAAACGAATGGCACTTCTCCCAAATCGGAATACGAAATGAATTCGAAAATAAGCAAATAGGAGTAATGGCAATTAATATAGTTGTTTGAAATGAATACTTTTACAGTATAATCAATTATAAGTAAATAATTCGATTTATATTAAAACGTATTCTCAAAGCTTAGAATTCATGAAATAACTTCTTTAGAATAATGTTAGTAATTGAGTGGTATCGGAGCAGCGAGCGTATGAAATAAAAAGGTTAAGATTTTGATTTAAATAATTATAAATTAATTAAAATAAATGGCTACGAATTTTGTACGTTTAATTTCAATAATTATTTAAATTATTGATCATTTTATATTATTTAATTTAACGGGTAATAACTATTTTAATTCTTTTAATTAAATCCAATTAAGAGAATACAATAATAAGTCAATATGAAATAAAGGTTGAGATACTGGATACGTTTTACTATACAATTAGCTTTAAAATTATTAATCATATCATACTATTATATGACAAGGGTTTTAAAAAGTCTTTTTTGTGAATTCCTATGTAAACACCATTGACAATTCTCTATTATTAAATGCAATTAGAGAATACATTAATAATTGTAGCAATATGTATGAAATGATGTTGAATTCAAGAATAATTTTAGAAATTGTTGAAAGCGTTTTTGGATTGATAGCATTTTCGAATTTTAAGCAATTTTTATAATGTTGTAACTGCTTAATTAATTATTTGAAAACCGTTTTAAAAATAGGAAGTAAGTGGGCGTATGAGATGGGTTGGTACTGCATTTTAGAATTAAAGCATTAATAATTTCAGACTGCTTAATTAATTATTTGAAAAGCCGTTTTAAAAATAGGAAGTAAAGTGGGCGTATGAGATGGGTTGGTACTGCATTTTTAGAATTAAAGCATTAATAATTTCAGACAGCTTAATTAATATAAATAAATGTTTTATGGAAAATGATAAATGATAGAATTTGAAGAGTTATATATGAACGTTGTAGATTAATTTAAAATTTACAGATGAACGATCCTGATTTACTATGGGTGAAGTCCCAAGCCACTTTTATATAGATAGTATATATATATATATATATATATATATAGACAGACGTACATACATACATACATTATAAAGATATAAGATTTCCATCTTGTAATATTTTGAAACAAAAATAATGATCAAAATATCTTCAATTGAAACTGAAACTTAACATGAATGTAGGCAAATTTGTTGTACATTTGATAAGAAAACTCATTTATATCATACATAAATTTCTACCAATGAAAAATATATCTTATTTGGAGCAATGAAACACTGTTTGAGCCATGAAAATTATTTATTGTATCTCACTATGGAAGAATTCTTGTCATGTAGCCGACCCCACGTAGTGGGATAAAAGCTTGATGTTGTTGTTGTACTATGGAAGAATTCTGCTTTTACATCAAGGTGCCGCAACTCCTAGTTGAAAAAAGTCGTTAAATTCATCCATATTTGTATTGAAGCCTCTAACCCTTCATTATCTTTTTTGGTAACCAATTTGTGAGTATAGATGCTCACATGCTTCCACTTTTGATGAAGCTACACTTTTAAACGACAGCAAACATAATGGGAACAATTTACTAATATCTAATTCTCAGATTTCACAGAAGAAAGAAAAAAAAAGTTTGAAATGGAATCTAATTATTGTTAACATATTTGAGCTGGAGTTTGAAATGGAATCTGCAACCATATGATTCAAGCTTAACCAACATAATCAATAAAACCACAAAGTAGAAATTGGATGTAAAGTCATAATCAGCAAATCCGAAGTTTATAAATCAAAAACTTGGAAAGTCTAAATGACACACCATTTCCATCATATGCTTTTCAAGGAGAAAGAGTATACTTTATTATCTACAAGATAATAGTTTGAATTGTAAGCAAAGCAGCCTATACTGACCTGTGCAACAACAAAAACAAGAAAATCCAAACGGTCACAGGAGAAAACATCAATAAAAAATGAGGCTGAGTTTCAGTTCTTTTTTCGGAGAGGAAGGCATGCCGGCGGTGATCTCACGCTCGAGGAGAAGACCGGATTAAGTGGCGGAATAACGAAAGGGAGAGAGGGAGATTAATGGGAACAATCGGCGAGAGGGAGGATAGCGAAACGTTTGCCTAGGTTTTTTTATTTGAAACGCTTGCCTATGGTAAACTGCTAGGAAGTGAAATCGAAGGGGGCATTTGATAGCGAGAATTGACACAGAAGGGAGATTTTTTTTTTTTTTTAGCATCTCAATAGTGAGAATGCTCGTCATCAATTTTATTTCTAAATCGACTTTATCGGTGGGCAAGCTGAAGAGCCGGTGAGAAGAAACATTAGCCGGTGAGAAGAAACATTGTGGAAGTTGAAGAGACCGGAATCAAATTGCAAAATCTAGGCAAGCTGAAGAGCTGGTAAGTACCAGTGGGCAAGCCGAAGAACCGATATGAAGAAACGATGAGGAAGTTGAAGAGACCGAAATCTAGAAGCTGAAGATTGAAGAAATGGAAAAACAGGGCAAGCAAAGATGGAAATTTGTGAAACTAGCGAAATAGGTTTAAAAAGGCGAACCCAACATTAAACTTTAAACAAGAAATGGATATTATTATATACCGGTATTAATATTAATTGTTTTAATCATAACTATAATACTTTAATTAAGGGTTGAGATTTGATTTGAATAATTAAAATTAATAAAAATGGATGGCCAAGATTTGATATGAGTGGAATCTCAAGGCACTTTTATATAGCATACATTTATTACCTTGTGAGCATTAACTCACCCCTGTTTGTACGAATGATTTTCAAGAGAACCTGTTAAGGACTGATGGCAGATAGACCTGTTACATACCAGCATAGAGCAGTTAAAAAAACATATTTTTATGGTTATGTAATGTTTTAATTGATGTTTCGTAGACTACTATCGTGTTTTCATTTTATATTTTCAAAAGTTTTTTGTTTTGATGTAATAGAGATATTTGAATTGGAAGTTTAGTGACTCTTTTCTATGTTGTTATTGGATGATTATTTTGTTAATGTTATCTATGAAATAAAAATTTTAAGTGTTTTCCACACAATTGTCAGTTCATGCTTCGTTAATTCGGTCTAAATAGATCGGGTCATTACAGCTTATAGTATGAACACGAATCAATCATTATTTCCAATGGTTTAAAAACAGGACCGGACCGGCCGGTTCAATCGTGAACCGGTCTGAAAGCCGGTTCGGTTCAACCTGAGAACCGGCTTAGCATCGAACCGGCCGGTTTTGGCATGAACCGCCGGTTCAACCACGGAACCGGCGAACCGGTCCGGGTTTCTTAAAACCGGCCGGTTCAAATTTTTTTAATATAAATAATATTAAATAAATATTAATCTTATCAATTATTAAACTTCTATTTCTATAAGATACATCTTTAAATAATAATTGAACAACCTCATGTCATCTTTTCCTCACATGACCTCTTGGTATGAGAGAAAGTGAAAAGTTATAAAATATACAAAGTAAAACTTCCCGAACACATATGGGGACTAAACCATACAAAGCAAAAGCCCATTTTTTGTTTCATAGTTTTAGCCTTTGTATAAGTTTTGTATTATTTTTTTTAAATTTTTTTTTAATTAGTTTTTTATAATTTGAATAATATTAATTTTTAGCTGATAAAATTTATTTTCTTAGTTCATAAAATTTAATTTTTTATATTTATTTTTTTTTAATATTTTTCCATTATATATATTATAAAGTTAATGTGGATTCATTTTTGTTTGTCAAATCATCCAGTAAAACTTATATCATATAAATTATAATAGAATAATTATTTTTTATATTTGAATAATATTTTTTAATGTTTTTTACATATTTAGATGTCCGGTCTAAATATTATGATGTAAAAAACTTTGTAAATTTTACATATTTCAAAACTTTGTAAATATTAAGTTTTTTAATATATTTGATAAATATTATATTGTTAAAAAACTTTGTAAATAATATGGTAATTTTTTTAACATTTTTAGATGTTGCCAATGAAATAATTTATATAAAATATTTAATTATATTTTAATTGTATATTATGAGCTTTTAAATAATTTATGTTTATAAAATTAAATCTAAATTTGTAATATAAAATAACATAATTATATTGAAAATTATATGGTTATTAAATTTCATATTTTGTTAATTTTATTATTTTTTATAATAATAATATATTTTTACGTCATCCGGTTCGACCCGGTTAGCCGTGACCGGTCGAAACCGTGAACCTCTCTTTCTCCGGTTCATTGTCGCGGTTCGGTTTTCAGAACCTTGATTATTTCAATAATATTACCGATATGTATATAACATCGTAAAAACATTCATATATATATAAGTATATATATATATATATATATATATATAGATATATATCTATTATTATTATATATATATTGGGGTTTAGGATTCATAGTGTGATCACGTCCTTTCTAGCCTAAATTCTATCTTCTCCTATATAAATCAAACAAATAACAATACTAATCTTCAGATAGACCATAATTATATTCACAATCAGTTTACAGTAAAAGCTACAATGATGGCAAGATTTCGCTAGGTAAACAACAACAACAACAAATTGCTAGTTTAAAAAAGAAACTAAACAACAGTTGAGCTAATTAAAGCTCAACTACTTTAGTTCGTGAATAATAGCTCATCATTCCAAAGAGATAAAAACTCTCAAATCATAAGTCCTAAATACAAGAATTGCGTTGCAGACCGCAAAATTGTTTATGCCCCATTTTCCATTCATCAGCTACATTTCTGAAGACAAATACAGAAAGAATACAAATGATTTAGGGTCCAATTTTCATTTTACTTTATATTCTCATATCACAGATTATATATATATAGACGTGAAGTTAGATTAGATTCTTAATTATGAACAGCATGCTTGCAGAACATCTTCTACATTAGGATCATCTCCAGCTTCTTTGTCCTGATAATAGAATCAATCAGAAACATCATAAACCATTCAATACAAATGATCACAATAATAATAATAAAAATAATAACAGCTCATGAGACATGTTGAAAATTTTTAATAAATTTGTTATCATATAGGCCAAATTTTCCTTTTAAGAAGTCATTTGATTTAGTTAAAAAGAAATGCAGAGAAAAAAATTGTAAAATACAATATATTTGAAATATTTTAAAATTAAGTAGATGAATAAAAAATAAATGCAGTTTTTTTTTTTCTTTAAGCAAAACTAATGTAATGTAAAGCCCAACGGTGGTTGTGGCCAGTGGCCGGCGACCTAAATGAGTTCAGATCAAGAGATGCTTTTAAATGTGATAGAAGAGTTTTAATTCTTGAGATAAAGACAAAATGTGGTGCTTCAAAATTACTAATTTGAATCAAGTAGTGAAAAAAAACCTTATGAAAGTAAGAGATATTACTGGTTCCGGGACCTGCAACTAAAATACCTCCCTGTTGCCTGAAAAAGATGGGAACGGAATTCAATTCATTAATTCCAGTAGGATAAAATTAACATGCTTATGCTTCACAAATGATAATAACCTGACATGCTTATGTTGATTCATTAATTCTTTAACGGGTTGTTTGGTCTAATTCGAGTGTGTGGCATTCAATTTTTCGATATTTAAATTTTTGTTGTTTGAAGTAAAATAAATAAAAGATAAAATTTTGAGGGATTTGAAGATACCCAATACCCTCTATTTTCCATGCATTTGAACATGGCCAAATCAACCAATTTTCAAATTTTGAGCTTAAAGAAATCACACACTCAACCATTCAAGTCTGCATCTGGTTCGCCTGCTCTCCCTGTCAGCCTTTTGCCTCCCTCATCTTGTTCAGATCGCCTTCCCTCACTACCCTCTCACTCACTCACCCTATTGTCCATTCACCTATCTCCTAAATTTAATATAAAGTATAAGAAAGAGAAAGAGAGAGTTTTGAAATATATCCTAATAAAAAAAAAATTCAATGCATTTGATTTCAATCCAACCGACAACCCTTGCATTTCTAAAATACATATATTCCAATCATGATATATTCTAAAAGATATGCATTTTGAAAACATCTAATCAAACCACTAAAATTTTCATTATCAAGCTAGTTAAGGGATCATGCAATATTAGTGAATCCTGATTTCAATGATAGCAATTTCACTATACATTGATTAATCATACAAAACCAACAACAACAACAACATCAAGCCTTTTATCCCATTACGTGGGGTTGGCTACATGAATCCTTTTTCTCCATTGTGTCCCATTAAAAGTCAATTTTTTATTTAAATCTAATAAAGAAAAGTCATTTCTAATATATTCTAACCATGTCTTTTAAGGTCAACCTCTTCCTTTCTTAACATAGGCCAAATCTAATGCATCTACTCTCCCACCAAGGTCATCAGAAGGCTGCCGTTTTACATGTCCAAACCATCTAAGGAGACTCTCTAATCTTATCTGTCGTTGGAGCTCCTCCAAACTTTTCACAGATGATTAACCATACAATATTAAAAGAGTAGTTTCAATAGTTTATTAAGGCACCCTCCTTACCTGCTCCCCTTTCTCCAAATATATTTGATTTTTTTAAAAGTAATTTGCTTAATAAGTATCCAAAATAGGGCAAATTATTGCATCCGGTCACCAGACGCGGAGATAGGTTCGGATATTAATAAAATATTCTTTTAAATTAAGCGCAACTAAAGCGCATGTAAAGCGCAACTAAAGCGCAGGTAAAGTGCAGGTAAAGCGCAAGTAAAACGCAGGTCAAAGTGCAGTCAAAAGCGCAGGTAAAGCGCAGTCAAAGCGCAACTAAAGCGCAAGTCAAAAGCGCAGGTGATGTGGCAAAATTTTATTGGATGTCCGAACCTATTCTCCGCGTCCGGTGACCGGATGCAATAATTTGCCCCAAAATAGAGACTTATACCAGAAGTAATCAAATAAATAACCAATAAAAAAGGAAAATAAAATACTTTTACAGCTGAATCTGACATTGTGGGCTCCGAAAATTCAGCCTCGGCCTCCACTCGCTTTTCTTATTCGGCGAGGGAGTTTTAACGAACTAAGTTCCGAGGTAAATTTTGGAAGGCAGATGGGTTTGTAGATAAGACACTACCCAGAGATTTCGCCCTCATTTTGTGAGGACTTTATGATCTGAGTTCTAGTTTCCTTGCATCAAGTTCTCTTGCATCAAGCTCCATGTGGTCCGACTCAAGTCTTTCCTTTAGTTTGAAATGTCCAAGATTAAGTCTTATATTATTTTATTTCATTTGAGTTTGACTTTTCTTGCGAATGATGCTTATGCTGTCTTTCAATTTAAAATTTGAGTTTCACTTAAGTCATATTTGTCCAATGTTCAAGTCCAAGTATATGTCCGAGTACAAGTGCAAGTCCTCATAGTCTTGTTCAATTTTGATTGAATTTCAGTTGAAGTTCAATCATTTTATGGTTCATTTAAGGTTTGAGTTTACTTAAGTAGATTTGGTCCAACCAAGTTCAAGTCCGGATCTTTGTTCAATATAGCTCTTGCATGTCCATTCAGTTCAATCAAGTCCATGTCCCAAATTGCTCCAAGTCCTTGGATTTTCAATCCAAATTTCGGCATCCTCCCAGCATCTCCCCCGTTAAGGGGAAAAAACCAAGAGGCCGCCTACCCGCCACGCCACCAAAGGCGTGCACGGTTGGTGTTTGTGAGACACCGCGGCGGTTGTATTATTTATTTTTCTCCCACCACGGCCAACAAAGGCGTGCATGGGGTTTTAAAAAGTATTTTATGAAAAGATAGCAATTTTTGACATTTCCCCCCGCTCAGAGGTACTTATGAGCGACCCCGCCTCGCCGTAGGTGCCGCACCGGGGTCCCATCCCACCACGCGCACCAAAGGCGTGCTTGGGGCGGTTTTCCGGTTCGCCACGAACATTGAAGTAGCGTTTTGAGTTTAGAAGAGTACGTACCTTCGCGGGGTTGCCGGGGTTGACACGTGGATCGAGGGGTCACTCGCCTCCCTCGTCGTAAGTGTCGCACCGGGATCCCTTCTACCACGCGCACCAAAGGCGTGCTTAGGTGGTTTGCCGGTCCGACACAAACGCCGAGGAAAGAGAGTGGAGGGGGATTATTTTATTTTTGTAATTAATCATAATTAAGATAATTAATTATAATTAATTATAATTAATAATGATTAATTAAATTAAGAATACTTAATTATAATTTAATTTAATTAATTATAACTAATATATAATTAATTAGTAATTAATTATTAAAAAAATTAATCATAATTAAACTTAATTAATTATGATTAAAATTTTTAATAATGAATAATTAATTCTAATTAAAAATAACTAATTATAATTAAAATAAATTAATTATAACTAATTTGTAATTAATAGTAATTAATCATAATTAAAATAATTAACTATAATTAAACTTAATTAATTATAATTAATTTAAATAAGATATTTAACAGAGAATTTAATCCTCTGTTTAACAGAGAATTTAATCCTCTGTTTTAGAGGATTTGGCCGAAAAAGCATGAAAAGAGGGAGTTACCCTCATAACCAGCGTGCTCCCGTTCTTGCTTTAAATCAGAGTGTCGGGACTTCCGAACGGATCAGGGAGGGAATGATGTCGGACGGAGGCGGAGCTAGGGCAAGGTTGGTAGGTGCTCTCTCTCTCTCTCTCTCTCTCTCTCTCGGTATGGAGTCGTCGGGTAGGAGAGGGAGATCCGACTGGGCTTCGGGATGAAGAGGCGAGGGTCGGAGGTGCGGCGTCGAAGGAGATGGGGTCGACGGGAGCAGGCGACGGGCTGAGGAGGGACTGGGGTCGGCCGACAGTGGAGATCGGTCTGGCCTCAGTCGGAAGAGGGAGACGGGTTGAAGCTTGCGGCTATGGGAGAAGTGTCGTGATCGGGAGAGGCTTCGTGTGGAAGTGGAACGAGAGAAGAGCAGCCCGAACGCTCCATTTGGTTCGGTATTTAAGGACGCCATTTGGGTACGATCGAGCGGGTTCTATGCAGGAATTTCGGGAAATGACTCCAACAGGGTCGATTTCAGCGGGATTCGCGGATGTCTTCGACGGATACGAGGTAGGGAGCGAGATTTCGGGGATCCTGACAGAGCCACGGTATGATTTCAATTTTATTTCCTTTGGGTATTATGCAGAGGTTAACAAATGCCCCCCAACAAATGTGGTACGCGTCTAGAGCGAATCACGTTTGTTGTATGATGATTGATCCTGTGGATCTCTAGATATTTATTCTAGATGTCACACAAAGGATTTCATTTAATGGATCTCCAAAATTTATTTGGATGTCACACTAAAGATTCTTTTTTAGTGGATCACCAAAAATTTTGTTTGGATGTCACACTAAGATTTTCCTTCATAGAGCTCTTAAAAGTATTAATAGATGGTTGAGATACTAATTTCTTTTGGTCCTGTGCTTTGTGCTGTGGACATTGATGGAGAATTGCCTAATTTGTCTTTGCTGACTTGTTAGGTGATTTTTGTACCTTCGACCCTATGCTTTCTGCTTTGGCGGGCTTGTTGAAGGAGTAGATGCGGATGACCTAAACCTTCTAGGTTTGTTTTAGGTCGACGGAGAAAAGTCATCGGTCCAGAGCTTTGTGCATAGCGGACTTGTTGATGACAGAATCCTCTTAGTTCAGCCCAAGGTTTTTTATGAACTCTGGGATAATTTTCTTCGGTCCCTTGCTTTGTGCTTTGACGGACTTGTTGAAGAAAAAGTCCTTCGATCCTTGCTTTGTGATTTATGGATTTGTTGAAGGATTTGCAGGTTCTGGATTCAGTTGATAGTACCGAACGTAGGTAGTATCTTGATCCTTAACCACTTGAGAAGACTTTAATCTGAATCACTTGAGTTTATCAGATCGGGAGAGCTAAAATTTGATAGCTCTTCGTCCTCTGGTTGCTGAAATGGGGGTTCCTCTACTACGGCCTTTCTTATGGCTTGTTGAGTAGATGGAGTTGCCAGTGATCCGGTCATATTTGGGCTTATTGGATCCGACCTCTTACACCCATTTAGGCTTCAGACTTGAGCTATGGGAATTGCGCTCCCCAATGCTGACTTTACTGAAGTTGGTAGATTTAGTCATCCTTCGTGGTTGTAGATTTTGGAGCTTACGAACATTCAGTGGTTGTTCGAGACTCATCCTTCCACTGGAACTTTGATTCTCCAGTCATTTTGGAGAATTTTGTAGACTACGATCACTTGAACTAGTTGAGTCAAATTGGCCTTCGTTCTTCCTTCAATCCCTACTGACGGGTTGACGAAGTGGGGGTTCCTCTGCTGCGGCCTTTCTTATGGCTTGTTGAGTAGACGGAGCTGCCAGCGATCCGGCCATATTTGGGCGTGTTGGATCCGACCTTTTACACCCATTCGAACCTTAAGCTTCAGGCTGTTGAAAGACTTCAAGCTTTTTCGGCTCAATTTTGTAGGAGTGTGTAGCCACAAAAG